TCTTTCCTTACAAAATGAAAATATTTTAGTAGCTAAGACACTGTATAAAGAAAATTACATTCTTTGCTGATATTCTTATAACTTGCTATCTATAATTTATCTGATAAAATGGTATAGGCAATCTAAGGAAAAAGCTATTGTAATAGCTGCACTATCTCTGTCATATGTATATTTGAAAAACTACATATATTTGAAAAAATTAAATGATATGATTTCATATGATTTGATGTCATATATATTGAATGCATTCAGAGATATTGGTAGTGGTGTATTATTTAAGGCACAATTACATGACACAATTTCTAAAATAGCCCAAAGAACTAGTTCACACCCCGTAGACAATTATTATGACATATAAAATGTTATTTTCTTCTAAAATAGTTTGATCATTCCTGGGCTGCCATATTTGTATTGTATTTAATCTTTTATTAAATAAAATTAGCTTCCCATAACTTCAGTCATAGACTCTCCAATTAGTCTTTTCATACTTAAGACTCAATACTCTGATTCAAGATCCCAAAGTCACCAACATTTTCTATTCTAGTCGTGCTAGCCCCCCCATAGTAGTAAAGAGCCTCCCAACAATTTTCTGACTAATAAAATCTCAGTTATACTTTAAACTACAACTACAAAAAAAAAGAGTAGAGGAAAAACAGTACATCCCCTTTTCCAAAAAACAAAGCAAAATGAAAGGGGGTAAAAAGACATAAATAAGGACTTCTGACTTTCCCAAACAAGAAATGATTGGCCAGAATTGCATTCAGGCGATCTATAACTACAACTCACTGTCAAAGTCAACTACCAAGTTTTAAGGCAGCAGCCATGCCGCTTTTTCCAGTGCATTCTCAAGACAATGATGTGGATTCCCACCATCCCTCACAGTTCCTGAGCAAAAAACCACAGAATTTCCACCTTACTAAAGGACATCCAGGGATTGTAATGTAAGCAGACCAAAACCTGAGAGTCAATACTTCAAAATTCTCTGGGCCCTCTCAGTTAAAAATGGGTCCTTCACCTTCAAATGTAAGATAGCTGCTACCCTGAGAAAAGCATCTAAGGATGTCAAGAACAAAATGTAAAGAGTAGGAAGACACTTAGACCTCATCTAATATTACCCTCCTTTCACGCATGAGAAAACTGAGGTCCAGAGAATTAAAATGACTTATCTAAGGCCATTTACCTGGCCAATTGCTATTTTATCCCTAGTGTGTAAACTTTTACTAAGACCTTGCATTTCACCTGATTTTTTAACTTTATCAAAGTGTCAAATACAGAAATTTCTCTGCAAATTTAAAGATTAGGTTCCTAAAATCTCTTATTTCAAAGCAATTTGCAAGTGATGAATTTATGACTGAATGGTGAGAGTAGGACAAGGAAGTCCAAACCCAAGAGTGAACCATGAAACCTCATAAATACTTTCATATTCACTGGTATAAAAGGAGACAGCAACACACTTTATAAGTACAGTGAAAATTACATTTGATGTATCTCAAGTTACTGATCCTGGGTATTAAAAAAAATATTTTTGTTTCTCACTTACCAGGATTATGTCAGGCACTTCCTACCCCCAACTTCAATGAAAAACATATAGATGCATGTTGTTTTGTACAGGTAACACATATGTTAAGAGGAATATTTTCCTTTTCTGGTCCCCCATCTAAATGCCCAGTGTCTTTCTCAATCTGTGACTTGAAGAACTTCACTTTCTTCTATTGGTCCCTATTTCACATATCACAGGCATTACTAGGTCTAGGTCCTAGATTTACTTTCTCTTTTTTTCTCTTAATGATTTCCTTGCAGAAACCACTACTCATTTTCATAATCCACTTTACCTCCTCTTTAGAATTCCCAGCACCAGTTCCTTCTTTTTCTAATGATTCAAACTAGGACCAACTACAAATCTAACATTCTTACACTTGCCAGAAAAGAAAACAGAAGTAAATCCTCATACCTTTGTAACTCCTTTGTTATGGACCAAATCACTAAAATAATGTGCAGGTACAGCCCATTATCAGAAAAAAAATTATAAAATCCATCACAAATACAGAGTCCAAGGAGACTATAAGGCACATATTCATTTTGCCCATAGAGTTACCTAATTCTCAATTCACATAGTCAGTCTCAGGTAAGCACCTGGGAGTTCCTTCTCCTACTCACTTCCTGTGATCTTCATCTTTGTGCTTTCTCCTAAGTTTTCTAACTTGTCTGCAAGACCCAGGTCTCACTCTCTAACAACAGCTAACTGAGGACCAAAATGATGGAAATCTTTACCCTCATCTCCACGCTGGGAAGTAAGACAGAGATTTACTGTTGGTAGAATTTGGTTCCTCATAGTAGCAGACCTACCTCTTTTAGTTTCTCCAAAGAAATCATACACACAGACTTTTTTACCTTTCCTTTCCTAATATTGATGGCCTTTTTTTTCCCTAAGATTTTTATTTATTTATTTGAGAGAGAGAGAGAGAGTGCACAAGCAGGAGGAGCTGCAGAGGGAGAGAGAGAAGCAGGCTCCTCACTGAGCAGGGAGCCTACAGACATGGGGCTCCCTCCCAGGACCCTGAGATCATGACCTGAGGACCCTGGGATTATGACCTGAGCCGAAGGCAGACACTTAACTGACTGAGCCACCCAGACACCCCTATTGATGGCCTTTTATAACATCAGTTAGATAAAGCTTAAAGACCTTCTTTCTAGTAGGGATGAAAAGGAAAAGCAATCAAAGAAAATAACCATTTTTATATGGGAAAATTGAAATTGTAACATATCTCTATTTATGCCGAAATCTCTTTTCTTATCTAGGATTTTATTCCATATTCAGCTTCATCAAGTTTTCTCTTTCTAGTGGATCATTTTAGTAGCTACAAACATAATGTTCAGCATCCATCCAAAGGAACAGAGAAAAAAGAAAAGAACATTTTGGGATGCCTAGGTGGCTCAACAGTTGAGCATCTGCCTTCGGCTCAAGGTGTGATCTTGGAGTCCTGGGACTGAGTCCCACATCAGGCTCCCTGCATGGAGCCTCCTTCACCCTCTGCCTATGTCTCTGCCTCTCTCTCTCTCTCTCTCTCTCTCTCTGTGTGTGTGTGTGTGTGTGTGTGTATGTATATGTCTCTCATGAATAAATAAATGAAGTTTAAAAAAAAGAACATTTTTCTAGTTCCCATTTACAACAAAACTCCCCAGAAGAATTCTCAATACTCACTGAATATAGTTTCTGTTCTTTCTTTTTTCCCTCACTGTTCAAAGTACTTCACATTTAAATTCCTGCCATTCTTTCCTTCACTATTTCAAAGTTCATATGCTGTCAGTAGTATATTGCTCCCTTTTAAAATGAAGATATCAAAACACATAGCTTTTAATTTAGGATTCCAGCAACATGGTAGTCTGAACTAAGGAAGATCCTCTTCTTTTTTTAAATTTTTATTTATTTATGATAGTCACAGAGAGAAAGAGAGAGAGGCAGAGACACAGGCAGAGGGAGAAGCAGGCTCCATGCACCGGGAGCCTGACGTGGGATTCGATCCGGGGTCTCCAGGATCGCGCCCTGGGCCAAAGGCAGGCGCCAAACCGCTGCGCCACCCAGGGATCCCGGAAGATCCTCTTCTTAATTGCAAATACTAGAAGTGCTAAATAAAATTTTAATATATGTATCATGGCTCAAGGTAAAAGTGTGGAAATCTCCAGGGGCCAGAGAATAATAAGAAACCTGCATACATAGCAGTGACTACATGGGCCCAAACAACACGGGTAGGTAGGAGGCTGGGAGCCAGGGCCATGCTTTGAGCAGAGCTCCATGCCCTAAGGCCCTCCTGGCTCTCATTCTCTCTTAAACCCACATTAATCAGGCTTTCATCCCCAGTATATCTTTTCAATATTACCTCTTTGATGTCAAATGGGCACTCAAATGAACATGTCCAAAATTAACTCCTACTCTGCCTCACAAAAAATCTATTGTTCCCAGGCTTCCCCATTGGTTAATTTCTTAGTTGGCATCCATTCTTCCAGTTGATCACGTTAACAACCTTGGAATCATTCTTGACTCTTCTTTGATTCTTGTATTTCACGTGAGTGTGTCATCAAATCCTATTAGCATCTCAGCCTTTCTCATAATATCTTTACTACCACACTGGTCTATAGTACAAACATCTCTTGCCTACTTTACTGCAGTCACCTCCTCAGTGGTCTCCCTGCTCCTGCTTTTGTCCCTAAGTTGTTCTATTCTCACAGTTGCTAGATTATACAAAAAAAAAAAAAAAATGAAGAAGAAAGATTATATCCCTCTCTGCTCACAAAATTCCAGTTTCACCCCCATCTCACTCAGTGTAAAACTGCCAAAAGATTTGCCATGATCCTAAGATATTGCCTGATCTCTCCCCAGCCACCTTGCTGACCTCATGTCTTACCACTCTCTTCCCCCTCCTCCCCTCTGCTCCCTCTACTTCTGCCTCTTGCTATTCCTCAAACACACCAACCAGATTCACGTTTCTGGGCAAGAATGACTGATCATGAATCCTAATGATCTAATGCCACTCTCCTTGGGATATTTCCATGTGACAAGCCTTTGGCTAAAGGGGAAAACTCCTAATAATGGACTAGTAAGCCATTGCAGAAGACTTTGGAGGGAGATTCTGAAGAGGAAGTAGCTTCTCAAGTGTTTCTAGAATCACAGAGTTTAATTAGGATATGATATGATTCAAACACAATTTCATAATTTTTAGAGGTTTCATTGGACTTTAGAACTAATAATCTTTCCCAGTTCTCCTTTTCCCATTATTCTTTAACAGTCATAGATAATAACTTCTGCTTTTCCTTTTCATCTTGACTTTAAAGAAGCCATTGAATCAACATAGTCTTTGGGTGGAGTTTTTAAAATACAGAAGGTTTCAGAGACAAATATTTACCTGTACAGGTCCTAGAATGGTCAGTACCTAGAAGCCTCTCTTCTTTGCAAGCATTATCGCCAGATCAGATTCTGTCTTTATTGCCCCTTAGGTTGTGAAATGTGGCTCAGGGTCATTATGACTTTCCTTTCCTTCCTAGCAGGTGCTTGCTCAGGGCTGAAAGTGGCAGTGCCCTCACACACCGTTCATGGTATCAGGGGTCAGGCCCTCTACCTTCCCGTGCACTATGGATTCCACACTCCAGCATCAGACATCCAGATCATATGGCTGTTTGAGAGAACCCACACGATGCCCAAATACTTACTGAGCTCCGTGAACAAGTCTGTGGTTCCTGATTTGGAATACCAACACAAGTTCACCATGATGCCACCCAATGCATCTCTGCTCATCAACCCACTGCAGTTCACTGATGAAGGCAATTACATTGTGAAGGTCAACATTCAGGGAAATGGAACTCTATCAGCTAGCCAGAAGATCCAAGTGACCGTTGATGGTGAGTCCACTATAAGTGACATGGGCAGCTGGGTAGCATGGCAATTAGTAACAGCTCAGGAGATTAAACTACCTGGGCTTTAGGTCCTGGCTCTGTAACTTTGGGCAGATTAACTAACCCAAAGCCTTAATGTCTCATGGCACAAATTACATTATCTATCTCATGAGGCTTTCTGAAGATTAAATAATACACACATGTAAAGTATATGCATAGTAAAAAAAAAAAGTATATGCATAGTGCCCAACTAAAGATAATCAAGCAATAAGCAGAACTTATTATTTGTTTTCCTGGAAACTATCAAGGATAAAGTTGCTGATACAATAAGATAGAAGAAATTTTATTTTCTCAATATCAGAACATACCTTGGGAAGAGCCCTGTTTTTGTCACATGAATACTTTTATTTTGATACACCATTTGGGGGAGGATGTGACTTGCTCCAGGACTGTACTGAAGGAGCCATGGAAGTTGCTAGAAATGTCCTCTGGGGGAATATGGAGTCAGCTGAATTTCATACATTTATTTTCCTTATTGAGGTATATAAGTAGCATTCCTGAAATATATTATGTCCAAATCCCAACATCTGATTTTTCCCCTAAAGCCTGACTATTTAACAGGTTACTACTTAAAATTTCCTCCAATTTAGCAGATACCAACTCCATTCCATCAGTTGCTCAGGGCAAAACTTTGTCATTACCATTGACCCTCTCTCACACCCCATCCAGTCCACAAGTTATCACTGTCAGCTTTTCCTTCAAAATGCAGAGTTCAGGCACTTCTTTCCACTCCCTCTACTGCCCGTCTCAACTCTACCACCAGCTCTGGCCTGGACTTTCCCTAGTAGCCACCACCTGACCTCCCTGCTTCTACTCCTGCCTCCCGCAGCCTTAAATTCTGCGATTGCTTTCTATCCCATTTAGTACTCTGTTAGCCAGAGTACTAACAATGTCCTACAAGGCCCCACATGATCCCTTTCAGCATACCCAGCATCTGTCTGACTCTGTTTCCTACCTCCCTTCCCCCTCACTCATTCTGTTCTGACCATACTGCCCTCCTAGCTTTTCCTACAACAGATCAAACACACTTATACCTCAGGGCCTTTGATTCAGTCTACCTAGACTCCTTTTCTCCTAGATAGTAGCATTGTTTCCTCCCCTATTTCCTTTAGGTCTCAGACAAAATGTCACTTTATCTACCAAAGTCTTCCTGATTGTTTTATAAAGTATAACCTCAATCCCCCAAACACAGAGAGAGAAAGAGAGAGAGAGAGAGAGAGAGAGAGAGAGAGAGAGAGAGATGGAGAGAGAGATTCCCCCAAACAGAAAGAGAGAGAGAGAGAGGAAAAAAAAAGAGAGTTACTATCTATCTTGAGTTCTCTTTATTCTTTTCACAGCACTTATTTCCACCAAGGTATCATATATTTTTATTTGATTATTTTTTCTCTCCCCCACCTAGAATAAGAGTTTTGTGGGAGCAGGGACTTTGTATTGTTTACTGCTTTGTCCTCAGCACTTAAAAGCTGATGCTGGACTTTAGTAGGCATTCAGTGTGTGTGTGGAGTAAATGAGTAGATAGCAGAAAGACTGAGAGGAGCAAAGGCAAAGGATGTGGAAGGAGATGCCTACACAGCAACTATGAAAAGAGAAAAGGAGAAAATGTTAATGAATTTCTCCCAGGTAGTATCCTACCTCTCCCCAAAACTAACTGGAACATTCCATTGCAGGTTAATATATCGTAAAATTGAATCTGTTTGGGGAAATGCAACTAAAATGTTTTAATAGGGGTTTAGGGCCTATGCAAAATATCTTCCTGGGAAACTTCCACATGTGAGTCACACTGTTTAAGGCAGCCTGTTCTGATTGGTTCTCCCCATAGAAGACCTTTGACATTACTTATTTGACTTATCTCATACCACATCTGTTTCTACACAGAGATATTTGAAACATAAGCTTTTCCTGTGTAATAAATGTACACAACTTATTTTTCTTTTTAAATCACAATAATATACACAAAAGCTACACATCCTTTGTTCTTGCCAGGGACTCTAAAGGATTAAATTGAATGGACAAGTTGATTATACCCATCTTAAGAAAAACTGGAGGCTTCAGAACTACTTAGGTCCCTTGCAAATTATTTCAATTTACTTTCTTCTTATTTTTCATTCTCTTCTATAGTCTCTGGGCTGAAGGACTGGATCTGTTTATTTCCCAATGCACATATTTCCATGTGGGAAAATGTGTGCATGAGTCAAGAGAAATTTACCTACAGAGAAGCATCCACAGCAATTTAAAGCTCGATAGGAAATTGAAATCTAAATATTGGAACCAATCATTTCTCACTTATATATCATCTCACCCTCTCTGAGTCCTGTGAAGATGCATAGAAGATTATTAAACATATATCTCTCCAAAATGCAGCAGAGAAACATTGCTAGATATAAAGCCTTCTTCATTTTATCACTGACTGCTGTGTAACTCTTTATCAAACAAAGCCAAGAACTTCAAAGATTAATGAAGTTTCCTGAAAATATTTGTGTATACTTACATAATTCCAACTATGACCCAATAATTTTACATTTAAGGCTCAGGAAAGAAATATTTACTCATTCTTGGAAATTTGTTCATTTGACAGATAACATCATGTACCAGATTCATGACATAAAACTATTTTTCCATGACTTGAAGTTCCAACAGGAATTACTACTGGATTTGTCTTTTATATCTCCAATGGGATAAAGCTGCAATAACACATTTTATTCTGTTTTGAAATTGAGTCAGTGTTGAAATGTAGACCTTGGTTTGTAAAGTGACTAACATAATGTTGCATGGCAATTGAAACATATCACTAGTTCATTTATATAGAAAAAGAAATGTAAGTGGCGAAAATGTGATTATCTAAAACTTTCCCTTAATATTTCCTGAGTATAATATATATGAGCTATATATTTTACAGATGGTGGATAAAAATTTAGGTTCATCTAACCCAAACAGCTATTCTTGGGACATTAAAACAAATCAAGAGAGGAGAATACCATGTAAACTTTGCCCATGAGCATATACCTTTATGGTGTGGGAGAAAGTACAATAAACAGAAAATAAGATAATACACTAACTGCATTATCTATAAACTAAAGGTTTTCATTAGAAAATCCTTGAAGAATACATTCTAGAATATAAATTATATTTTTATATTTTGTTATTTTGCATTTTCCATTTTTTATTGATATTTAATTATTTTCTGAACTGTCTACATCTATAAAAATGTAAAATTTTAGAATCATTTCCCCAGGTTTTGATATGTGAAGACCACACAGACTTGTATTATAATTCCATGGTAGCAAAAATCATTTCTATCTCTTTTGATATTGCAGATCCTGTCACAAAACCAGTGGTACAGACTCAGCCTTCCTCTGGAGCTGTGGAGTATGTGGGGAACATGACCCTGACATGCCTCGTGGAAGGAGGGACCCGGCTGGTTTATCAGTGGCTAAAAAACGAAAGGCCTGTCCACTCCAGCTCCACCACCTCTTTTTCTCTGCAAAACAATACCCTTCATATTGCTCCAGTGACCAAAGAAGACATAGGGAATTACAGTTGCCTGGTGAAGAATCCTGTCAGTGAGATGGAAAGTGACATCATTATGCCTACCATATATTGTAAGTTTTTAAAATATATATATTCATGACTTTTGTTCCGGGAAATTTACACAAGGGTGTTCACAGAGAATATCAACACAAACTCATTTGTTTTTACATTATTGTAGTACAGTATTAGTTGCAATTATGCTTCCTACACACTGTCTTTGTCATGAAATGTAACTAGTAGCACAATCCTATTTCTTGAAGAATAAGTTGAAATACCAGCCATGGGCCTTTTAGGATACATCTTCTGACTTGGTCAGTTGTGTGACCTTATATCCAGTGGAAAGTAGGAACCTCAATTTTAAGAACCCAGAACCATGCATAGGCACTAACCTTTCATTGAATCTTGAAACTAGAAGCTATTCTATAGTTAAACAGAAGTGAGAATATGTGCACAATAAAATGTATGAAATACAATGTCATAAATACCACAGGGAAGTGTACAAAGGACCATAGTGGCTGGGAACAAGAATTCCAGAGCCAGGGGGACTGGGTCCAAATCTTACCTCTCTGTGCCTCAGTTTCTCCATCCATATAGTGGTGATAATACCATTATAATACCAGATAATACCTACTTCATAGAGTTACTGTGAGGAGTAAATCTGTTACTACATGTAAATTGCCCAGAACAGTGACTGACCCATAGTAAGTACTCTATAACTGTTTGCCATTATTATCACTATAATGTTATAAAGCTATGGAAATTCAGAGAAGGAAAACATTACTTCTTGCGTTATTGCAGAAAGTAATATTTGAGATGAATCTTTGAACAATGAGTATTATTGGGGCAAGTAGCAATGTCCAGAAAAACCATTTCAGGCAATAGGGACAGCAGGAACCCAAACACAAAGCAGAGGTCAAAGTTTAGGCCAATGGTCCAGTTTAGTTAGAGTGTAGAATACAGCAAGGGATGTGGTAGACTAGATGGTCAGATAGATACGTTTGAGGTGAATCATGGAGAACTTTAAACACCCAGCATTATGTGGTAAACAATGAGGAAAAATTGTTTTTTAAACAAAAGTTCAAATAAAAAAAGTCTAGTCTTTTATAAGCTAATACTTGTACACACATAGTCTAGGCTAAATCAAAAAATGTTTGTCAAGAGAGCACGTTTTCAAGATAGATCACAAACGTCATACAGATATAGAAATGGTATATATAAGAGAGGGAAAAAGGGAAGTAATATTTATTTTATTAACCAACAATACAGAAAGGAAAAGTCACCAATTTTGAACTATATACAGTGATTAAACATATTTAAGAGCAATCTGAGAATATTTTGTTCTTTTTTTTGAGAATATTTTGTTCTGAAAAGTAATCTTACACATAAAAAAGATTTCATATGTTGTATAATTCATTTTTTGGTGTAGGGGAACCAAAGAGGATTAATTCCTAGTCCAACGTAGTCCAGAATTCATTGTCTCAGAGATGAACCATTCCCTTCATGTAGAAACAAGAAATTATATGAAAAAGTGCCATAGAAGGAGGAAATTACAGTTTTTCACCAAGAATCACCAAAACATCACACACTGCAAGCAATTTACTTGAGATTTCTTACAGTCATTAATTACACTGTGTTTAACAATGTCATTATTTTTATAGCAGAATTTTTAGCTATATTTTTATAGTTTAATGTAATTTTATATTCAGATGACATTATGAAAATACTGCCTTAATGCACAGACTGAGAAACAGATTCACAAAGAGAGTATAAACTGTGTCTATCTGCATGACTAACATTGTATTGGAGTGAAATATTCAGATTTGGTGCAGTCTTTTTATAAGTGTAGTTATCTTCTTGACTGAATGAGTTTATTCTGACATGAATTAACACTTCCATTCAACTGCAAGTAGCACAAGACCTAAGCATTGAAGTTATTGAAACAGTGAAAAAAAAATATGAGCAGGCAAAGTGAATCAAACCTAGGGCTATGTAGATACATCTTTATGTTATTCTTTATTACTTGGTCTAAATGGTTTACGTTCACATAGAAGGGACAAAATGCAAAACAAGGTATTAAAGCAGCCGGATATCATCTCCTGAATATTAAGCCAAAGGAACCATCATTCAGTATGGTGAGAGACAGCAGGAAGGGAGCTTGTGCTGGAGCATGCCTTATTAAGTGATGATCTTTTGTTTTAACAACATTAAATTCTAGTTAATATCATGTCATTTGGGGAATGCAGTGGAGAGCACAGTGGTTATGAGCCTGAGTTGAAAATTGATACTGCCTGAGCTAAAGCCTTGGTTCTGCCTTTAGCAGTATATGCAAGAGACCCCCTTTTTGTGCATCAATGTCGTCATCTCCTTATCTCCACTGTCCTTGGTATAAGGTTCATGCCTGTCTCAAGAGGGCTGGGCAGGGGATCCCTGGGTGGCTCAGTGGTTTGGGGCCTGCCTTCAGCCCAGGGCATGATCCTGGGGTTCTGGGATCGAGTCCCACATTGGGCTCCCTGCATGGAGCCTGCTTCTCCCTCTGCCTGTGTCTCTGCCTCTCTCTCTTTCTCTGTGTCTCTCATGAATAAATAAATAAAATATTTTTTAAAAAAAGAGCGCTGGGGAGGATTAGGTGAGATTTATGAATAAAGAAGCCAGTGAGTGGCACATAGGAAGAACTCAATGATCTTAGTTCTTCCCTCCCCCCCATACACCTTTTTTTTTTCTTGCTTGCTTTTTTTCCTGTGAGCCAAATCTAGACTGATATAATTGGGAATATGGCAGCAAGAAATTATGGAGAGCCTGGATCATTTAGAAGATGCCTGCAAAATGAAAACTGAAAGAATGCCTTGAGAAGAACATTTTACTTCCTGAACACAATCAGTAGTTAACATATTTTATTTTGTTTACGTGAAAATACTTTCTTTACATGAATTCTTTTTTATATCTATCTGTCTCTCCATCTATTTGCCTATCTTTAAACTCTAGCCATAGATTTAAACAAAAAATTCCTGGAGGAAATTGCATGAACAAATACAGGTACATGAGAGTATCATTTGCATCTTTAAATATACTTTTATTTGGCTATATAGTTTATTTTAATTGGACAAAGTGAGAATAAGACTTTTCTCTCTTTCTTCCTTTCTCTTTATGCCCTTCTTTTTTCTTTCTTTCTTTTTTTCTTTCTTTCTTTTTTTCTTTCTTTCTTTCTTTCTTTCTTTCTTTCTTTCTTTCTTTCTTTCTTTTAGAGAGAGAGCATGTATGCATGTGTGTGTGCACAAGAGGGAGGGGGAGGGGCAGAGGGACAGGGAGAGGGAGAATCTTAAGCAGACTCCATGCCTAGCGCAGAGCCTGACGGGGGGCTCAGTGTCAAAACCCCGAGAACATGACCTGAGCTGAAGTCAAGTTAAACACTTAACTGACTGAGCCACTTAGGCACCCCTAATTTTTCTTTTAACATGCACAAGTTCATGCCCCAATATCATTATTATCATAGAATGTGGTGATACACAGTATGTAAAGAATAAAAATGAGGGAAAAAACCATAATCACACCTATAAATGTTAAATAATATAAATGTTAAAGGTTAAACCTTTAAATTCCTAAGTCTTCTTTCTTATCCAGTGTTATTTTAAAGAATGAAAATATCCTCATCTGAATAAATTCAGATTTCACAGAATATGTCTTCTATCATTGACTAAACATTTTTCTTTACATTCTTTTAGACATAGTCTATGACAGTCTTACAGAGAAACATCAGTCATGAGTAAAAACTAATGGTAGATAGTAGGAAGAAGAACATTTAGAAAATTTACAAATTTATGTTCCATTTACTCATTGTAAAGATGAATTATGTAGACAGTTTAACAACGACTGTTACTCTTACGAAGTGGTAATTGTGAATATAGTATTAATTTACTTTCTTGACTATTTTTACATTCAAATGCAAAGCTCTTAGTCAACAATCTCATCTTACCTTCATTCATTCACTTATTCACTCATAGTTTATTTGATTCAAAAATCAAACATCATGGTCTGGTTTGTGCTAAACAATTATTTATCACATAGCATACAGAAGCATAACCCAGACTCATTAAGTTTTTTCAGACTCATTGATTTTTACATTTTTCATTCTATTGCTATTTTAGCCCTGTTGTTTGTTCTTAGTTTGGGTTTGGGTTTGGGTTTGGGTTTGGTTTAATTTGGGGTTATAATAATTAAATAAAATATATAATGTGAAAATTGGTCATTTATCCTATGATGTGGCATCAACATTTTTGCAATCTTTATCATTCTATACAAATTGGGCATTTGTGCCTTGGTTAATGTTGCCACTTCTCTTTCTTCACCTGGCAACACCCTCCTCTTCCTTCATAGTATCATCTTCTCCAGGAAGGCTTATCTACCCCTACCTTGTCTCAGCTCTTCAGTATGACTAAGAGGTTTGCTGTGCTCCTATATACCTTCTTTCCTAGTACTATCTGCACTAGAGTCTTTCTACTCATAAGCATCTCAACCCCAAATTGAAGCTCTGCATCATTCATCTTTGTATCCCTAGAGCAATACTTGACACGGATTAAGAGTTCAATACAGGTTTCTTGAACTTGACTAAAATGGAACAGATGATCTTCATATCCCTTTCAGATTCCAATGTTACTTAATGATGCTATAGTGATGTTAAATTCCTATTATAAGATGACAGTTTCTTAATTATAGTACTTTGGCCTTTAGTTTTATTTTTTGTTTTTGTTTTAGTTTCTGCTCTTTAGCAGAGTTCCTCAATAAAAATATCATATTTGAATATTCCTCCATGGAGGTCCACATCATAATTTAGAATTTCAGCATAAATCAACAATTCTGTTTTCCTAAGGCTCTGTTTCCGTGATAGCTTCCTTCATGAAAGCAGGAATTATTTTTTTTTTTATTTTGGCAGAAAAAGTTTAACAGAATCTATCAAGACTGGTCATGTATGTTTGAGGTTATGATGTCATAACCTAGTTATGGACTTGTTTGGAATATAACATCAAGTTGGTAATTCAGACAAATTCCTACTTATAATCCATGAAATGTATATGCCTTCTAGCTCCATTGTAAATAATAACCCAGTAACCACTGCATTTTGTGTGCAACATATGGTACTGCTGCAGGGAAGTACTCTAAGTGATAAAAATTAAAGAAAAAAAAAGGTCATTCACAGTAAATACTTACCATCTGCTCCCAAGCAGGGTGGCAAGCAGCATCATGATGGAAATTTCGGTACTGTTCCCGCCCAGCCATAAATTGTTAAAGAGAACAGATGATATGTGATTTTACAAGTCACATAGTAAACAGCCATTTCTGAGGCAAAGGGTTTATTTCAATTGGGAGTTTCCTTACCACAGGAAAGAAACTGGACCAAAATCCAAAGTTAAAGTAGAAACATCCTTCTGCTTTCATTTTTAATGTAAGAGGCCACACTAGTGAATCACTCTAAATGTCTTCAATTGGATTGCCCATTCTCATGAATAACGCGTTAGGCTGCACCTCAAAGTAAAAGAGGGTCCGACTGGATTGCTACAAAGGAAACATCATAGTGTAGTAAGAAAAAAAACATTGTAAGCAGTAGAGAGAGAGAGAGAGAAAGTAGAAAGAAAGGAAAGAAGGAGATAGATGTGTGTGAGAGGAAGAGAGAAGTATAGAAAATTGAAAGACCATATACTGAAATACAGATATTCAGTTCTTCAAATGGTAAAAATACAAGAGTTTTCTTTCCATCTTCGTGATTCTCTAAATTTCATGGTTTCCTGCAATGAACATGTATTTCTTACATAATCAGATAAAGTGTGTTACATTTTAAGAAATCATATCAGAAGCGAGGAACTTAAATGCTTCAAGGTGTTAGGCTCCAAGACCTGGAAGAAATGTTTCCCACAGAGGCTGGGAGAGTTTGAGGGATATTGAGGCTAACTCTGAAGAGCCAGATTTGCACATAATTAGGATGGAGGAGAAAAGTTTATGCCAATCATGAAACTCAACAAATAGGGAAGTAGCAAAATCAAAATATGCATACATATAGGGAAGATAAGCTAAGACTCCTTTCTTTAGAAGCACGTTTTATTTTTAACAAGAGCAATATTACTAACTTAGGTAATCAACCTTATTCACCAAGCTTGGCTGTGACTGTGGGCTTACTTTAAAAATTGAGCCCATTCTCCAAAATGGAAGAATTACTACTTTTGAGAATACTCCATTATGTTGCAGGGTCCTAAGGCAATTCCAACTGAGGAGTTCTCAAAAAGTTTTGAATAATGTCAGCAGACTGAAAAGAATATTACTTATTTTAATATGTATCAAATTATCAAGCAATTTGTTTTTATAGTCACATTCTGTAAATCCAGTGAAAGACAGAGACTTAAACTGAATGACTGTATTTTTATGACCACACTTCTCTTGTTTATCACTACTTGCAGAAAAGCTCTCTCAGACTTTAATTTTTGTGCACAGACTCAGATCTCTTGTTGTTCCAAACTTCAGTTGATTCCTTCTTTTGGTTTCCCACTATGTGAACCATAACTTGTACCTGGCAGTTGGTGGTCTTTGCTTCCTTAAATGTTCTGTCAGCTTCCATCAATGCTGACAACTTGAAAGGACCCCGCTGCTCCCTGGGAGAACAGCCACAGAAATCATGTCTATGACACTTGGATTCCCTCATGATGCCTAGAACACTATTTTGCACACAGTAACATCTCAGTATTGATTTTGGTTGGTTTAGTGGAATTCAGAATAAGAGGGTTCCAAGTAGCACACAACTCTGAAAGAGTGGTTTTCCCCAGAGAATGTATCATAGCCTGGAATGAGAGAGCCATATGACAGGGTTCTAGTACAGCTAATAAAGTGCTGGATAGGGCACTTATTTCACTTTAATCTTCTATCTCCTGTTCTTGAATACTTCAAATTTGAAGGTACTAACTTCTATATTTGCCTTCTGAAATCAGGATCATCTCCTGTATACATATTAATGTAAATCTATAGGTTTCCTGTAGATGTTTGTGTCTTAGGAAGCAAATATGTGTAATGTTCATGTTCCCTTGTTAAATATCATTTATTGTTTTGTATCTCAGTTTCTGTTTTATCTTAGGAAATGTGTTTCCGCAATGGTAGATTAGTCAGAAAATGCTGACATAAAAGAGAACCACTCTGGGAACAAATTTAAGGTTGGCTTGCCAGTATCCAAAATAGCTTTAGCATGGCATCAATCTTTCAAACGTATTTCAAAGGGAGAAAGAACTCTGGCAACCATTCCTGTGGTCAACCTTTTTATAGTAAAGGTGAGGAAAGTGAGACCTAAAAGTATGAATGACTTCTGAAGAACACTTGACTAATTACTGACAAAATCAGGATTTAATGTAGTTATAACTGATAATGACTACTATGTAATCATTACATCATATTATTCCATATAATGAACAATGAATTATCAGTACTTTTATTTTTTTAAGATTTTATTTATTTATTTATGAGAGACACACAGAGAAAGGCAGAGACATAAGCAGATGGAGAAGCAGACTCCCTGCAGGGAGCCTGATACAGGACTCCATCCCAGGACCCTGGGATCACAACTTAAGCCAAAGGTAGAAACTCAACCACTGAGCCACCCAGGTGCCCCTCATCAGTACTTTAAAAAGAAAATCAGAACCTTTGAGCCACCCAGGTGCCCCTCATCAGTACTTTAAAAAGAAAATCAGAACCTTTGAGATCAGGTTATTACTGAGCAAATCATCCATAGCCTTTTCCATTTTATTAATTCCTTGAGAGGAGGAACTGTATCTTACACATTTTTCGCTCATATTAAGTATATTGTCTAATAGTATCTCTCAAACAAGAATTTTTTTATTGATTACTTGACTGAGTCCAGAATTAATATATAATTAGACAATTTTATTGTAGAGCTAATACTATAGTTACACAATAAGGAACTATTCTAATATAGAAAATTATACCACATACATTTTGGGGGAGGTAATTAGAATGATCAAATGCATGTATTATAGAGTTCCAACTCTGCTATATAAAAGCTATGGACCATGGGAAAACTAATTTTTTAAATGTTTTTTCCTTCATCTTATAATGGAAATAATAGCATTTACCTCATGTGGTTGCTTTAAAGATTAAATGTGGTTGTCTGTGTAAGCACTTAAAGTGACTTCATATAGAAAGTAGCCAATTGATGTTGGTGATGATCAGTTGAAAACTGAACACAATCATGTCTAAATCTTAAAGTTTTTAGAATATAAACCAGGATTTAGACTGAACAAGAAATATTTTATCTTACTGGGAAATTTTTTCAATCTGTCTTTATTTTCTGAAGAAAGCAATGGGAAATGTGTCTCCATCTGCAAGCAGTCTGGTGCCATAGACATAGCAAAATGCCACAAGAGAATTGCAGTAAGGAAAAACACCATGTGATATTCACGATTAATTCACGATTAAGTAGTTTATTAATGATTGATGAATATTTGTTAATGATAGTGAAGATGTATTTTTCCAAATATTCTAAGCTTAGTTTGCAGAGAGAAATTTTTAAAATTATTTAATTGTTAACGTGTCATGAAAATATGGGACACTGCTGTATCTATTAGCATAAACCTGTGCTCCATGTGAAACTATGGATTCTATAAATATTTGTATGACCTACCCTAGAACTGAAAGGAAAAGCAGATAATACTCACAGTATGGAGAAAATAATGGCCATAATCTATTTCTAATATGCTTTCAAGTGCAATTTTGGTTTCAGAAAAATGATACTTGTCTAACATGATTGGAGATTTATCAATACATTAATTACTCAAAAGCTTAACACACAGTTAATAGTGTCTCTAAAATTATGTACTAAGTTTCAAGGCTTTCACTATCTCAGATAAGCTCAATCACATCTCAGATAATTTCCATTGTCATGGATATCAGAATAATACATTTTTAGGTCCTCATGATTTATTGGGAATCTAAATGAGGACGTGTTTGCCAAGGTTTAACATGAAGACTTTCATAGAAAATAAAATGCTGCCAAGCTTTCCCAAACTCTGTAACTGTGTTGTGATTATTTATGCCACCTCTTTATTTCTTTTTTTTAATTAATGCAGATGGACCTTATGGACTTCGAGTTAATTCTGACAAGGGGCTTAAAGTAGGAGAAGTGTTTACTGTTGATATTGGAGAGGCCATCTTGTTTTATTGCTCTGCTGATTCTTATCCCCCCAACACCTACTCCTGGATCCAGAGGACTGACAATACAACATATGTCATTAAGCACGGGCCTCACTTGGAAGTTGCATCAGAAAAAGTAGCCCAGAAGACAACTGATTATGTGTGCTGTGCTTACAACAATGTAACTGGACGGCGAGATGAAGCTCATTTCACAGTCATCATCACCTCTGTGGGTAAGTATGACATAAAAGGTGAGGATCCCAAGGAAATACAAACACAAGCTGTCCTAGCCCTATTTTACACTTATGTGAAAAGAAAACTATTGTGGATTGTTATAAGCTCTAAGAAACTCTTTCCTGAGTTAACTAATCCATGGCTTCTATGAGTCAAAGAAAGAAAACTCAAAACAAAATGGAGGGAGAATTCAATTGCTAACACTGAGGGACTATGAAGAAAAAGACAATTCAATAAATGATTTCTAAATATGTGTTTATATTTTCCTGATTTTAAAATCAGGAATATAATAGAAGCATGCTACTCATTTAAACTGGTTTATAGGGGATCCCTGGGTGGCGCAGCGGTTTGGCGCCTGCCTTTGGCCCAGGGCGCGATCCTGGAGACCCGGGATCGAGTCCCACATCGGGCTTCCGGTGCATGGAGCCTGCTTCTCCCTCTGCCTGTGTCTCTGCCTCTCTCTCTCTCTGTGACTATCATAAATAAATAAAAATTAAAAAAAAATAAAAAATAAAAAATAAACTGGTTTCTATCTGCTATTACATTAGTTCAGGTGAATAAATATAAGTTGGAAATCTGGTTTTCCTACTATCTAATTTGACTCCTAACTGTCCTTCATGGACCTTCCTTCCTCTTTCATCATTTAAACACCTAAAATCTGGAAGTTCTCAACAGGAGTCTCAACATCTTGGAAACTACAACATTTTGTAAGTCTGTGAACTTTGACATTCTCTAGAAATCATCTGATTTTTCGCAAAGCTCATCAATCCACAGAAAGTTAAATATCACTACCTAAAAATGTATTTCTGCCAAATTCCCATCCTTTTGAGCTTTCTTTTCTCTCTCTACAGTATAACTTTACTTTCCTAAATGATTTCATTCACTCCCATGGTTTCATTGTAACACTGGTGTGTCCCAAATCTCTATCTTTAAAGTTCTAAAACTGTATATCCAGTTACCTTCTGGATATCTCCAATTTGAAATGCCAGAGCCAGCATATAAATCAAACATATCAAAACTGAACCATCTCTTTTCCCCCTTACTATTCCTTCTGTATTCCCTATTTAAGTGAATGACCACCCTACTATCTACCAACCTGAACCAGATAGCTGAATGCTACTCTACACCTCTTTCTCTTACTTATTGCCCTAACATCCAATCACCAAATTTATCCATTGTACTTCATTCCTACCTCTCAAACCCTTTCTTTTCTCCTTCTTCCTTCTCCTTCTTTCTTAAATTTCTTCTCCTCTCCCTCTCCTTTCCCCTCTTTCTGTCCTCTTCCTCATCCCCCTCTTCCACCTTGTCCTCACCCTCCACCTTTTTCTCCTTTTGCTTCTTCTTCTACTACTACTTCTGCTAATATCAAGTCCTTCCTGGACACAACTTTACACATAAAGACAAGCCAGTATCCACCTGGGGTACACCCAAGAGTAGGTTTGGACAGGGAGTGGTGTCTGGTGTTGCCTTTTAGTGGTGTAGCAACAAGTGTGCAAAAAGTACCACCCATCAATACTTTCTCTGTTGATATCTTCTCTTTCTCCATCTTTACAGCCCTTATGCCTAGATTAGGGCTCATAATATAGAAAGGGTCAATACATTTTGTTGAGTAAATGAAACAAGAAAATAATCCTTCCAATTCTTAGGCTAAATTTTTTAATATGTGGTCCTTGGGCCATGTGCATCAAAATCATCTGGATAGGCCTAATAATGTATTTTTATTAAGACCTCTCAGATCGATTGAGTCAGATCTTGAAGGTAGGATCTAGAAATCTGAATATTTAACATGCACAAGTATGATAATGATGTGTTTAAGTTTTTTTCCCTCTATAGTCTTTTGAACTTATTAAAAAGCCACCAAGAATTCTTAAGACCATAACAAACTACAAATTGATGAAGAAATATATAGTGGATAGAATCCTTCCAGAATTCCTTAAAGTTGAGAGTATTCATATTTGTGAAATCATATGAATTTATATACTGGCACTCTGAGGTGCTTTTTTTATATGAAGAAAATATCACACTTTCTAGAAAAGTGCTATCTAGGGGCATCTGGGTGGCTCAGTTAGTTAAACATCTGCGTTTAGCTCAGGTCATAATTCCAGGGTCTTTGAATTGAGCCCTGTGTCGGGCTTCCTGCTTAGCCAGGAGCCTGCTACCCCTCTCCTTCTCCCTCTGCCCCCTATTCATGCTCAATTTCTCTCTCTCTCTCTCTCAAATAAATAAATTTTTAAAAAAACATTTTAAAGAAAAGTGCTATCCAACAGAATTTTTTTCAATGAAGGAAATATTTGATATCTGCACTAGCCAGTATGGTAACCACTACCTTCATCTGGCTTTTGAACATTTAATTTTAGCTATGCAACTGTGGTACTGAATTTATTTTATTAATTATAACTTAAATAGCCATATGTGTCTGGTAGCTACCATATTGGACAGTGCAATTCTAGAATTTTTACTTGAATTATGTGTCATTTGGGCAATGGATATTTCCCTTATAGTTCCCCAAAGCATATATGTGTTTAGAGTGTTATAAATCAGAAACTCATTTATTCATTATTTAGCACCTGTTATGGGCCAAATACTGTGGTAAGCATTGAGAATGCCAATTTTAAAAAAAAAATCCCTGCTAACAAAATGACCACAACCTAATATGAATAGCAAGCATATAAACAGCTAAGATGCATCCTTTGCTTTCTATTTTACTAAACTTTTAATATGCTTACCCAGATTTTTACCTCAGTAGATAACCAAAGCATAATTTTAAAGCAAGCTGTAATTAAGCATATTAAATCGTTTAATAGCAAACTGGTTGTCATCTTAGCCTTCTTCCTCATTCTCATTGCAAGTGAAAACATGACTACAATATGTAGTTGTATACTGCATTGAAACCTTTCACACTGCCTGAACTTTCTCCATTAATATTTAGCCAAAGTATTTTCATAATATCAGAAGCCCCCAATATTTGATTAAGATCTTATTACCAAAGCCCAAAGACAGCTACAATCTTTATATCAAATAATTGCCTTTTGCAAAATATAAAAAAGAAAACCTGTTTGACCTGTACAAAGACCAGGTATTTGTTATTATAGTAAATAAGAAGAGCAGGTGCTTATTTTTCAGAGGGATTCAGAGTTGTCAACATTAGTGACCTCTTTTTGGTTTTTAGAGCTATTTTTCAACCCCCATATGTCCACAGAACTTTAACTCAGACGGCAGCAAATGGCAAAGTAAATGAGTAGTATTGATATGTTTTAAATATTTGATTTTTAAAAAAGTTTTCCAAATTAACAAATCTCTGCAATAAAGTGTATACTAACCTAAAGTGAAAAAATGAACATCATTTGTAGCTACCAATTGATCGCTGACTGACCATCCACTGTGATAAGCAATCTATGTTAAGATCAGTGGAAATGGGGCACCTGGGTAGCTCAATTGATTAAGCATCTGTCTTCAGTTCAGGTCTCCCAGGGTCCTGGGATTGAGCCCCATGTCGTCTCTCCGCTCAGTGGGGAAATCTGCTCCTCCCTCTGCCTCTCTCCACCCACCACCCACTCACTTGTGTGCTCTCTCTCTCTCTTTCAAATAAATAAATAAAATGTTTTTTTAAAAAAAGAATCGGTGGAGAATTCGAAATAATTTTGATGGATAAGATACTAGCCTCTGAAATATTTTCAGAACCAAGTTGTATTTGGTACAGCCAGAGGCCGGTAGTAAAAAATAGATGATCTGCTTTGTTTTTACTGAGGCAAATAATGTGGCCAACCAGAAAGTCTCAGCAATGAGCCATAGAGGGCAACAAAGGAGTTAGAAATGACTCCAAGACCACAAATATGGAAAGGAAATAATAGGGTTAGGAAATAATCAAAAGTTTTATTAGGGGGATCCCTGGGTGGCGCAGCAGTTTGGCACCTGCCTTTGGCCCAGGGCGCGATCCTGGAGACCCGGGATTGAATCCCACGTCGGGCTCCCGGTGCATGGAGCCTGCTTCTCCCTCTGCCTATGTCTCTGCCTCTCTCTCTCTCTCTGTGACTATCATAAATAAATAAAAATTTAAAAAAAAAGTTTTATTAGGTTCTTTTAGTTGGAAAGAGGAAACCTGGAGAACATGATGATGGGCTCCATGTTTCTTGTCTGGGTAGGACTTGACTAGATGGTGCCTTCCACCTCATGGGCTATGATTCACATCTAATTTGAAATACTAATTGACCTTTCTGTCTCAGTGGAGGTACACTAAAGAAAACAGGAGCAATGGCCAAAGTTGCACAGCTAGTAAGTGATAAAATATCTGAATTTACATCCCTTGTTTTAATCACTATATAAACTGCCTCCCTTGACATTCTCGACTAAGAATATCAATAAGACTATGGTCTTTCTAAAAGATAGATCACAAAAAATAAAAATAAAAAAAATAGAAAATAGATCACATATATGGGATAGTGTGTATTTTCTCATTCCCTTAACTAATTTTGTGCCATATAAAAAGAGATACTCTAGTTTGTTCATGGCATGTGTATGCTTCATATTAATGAGAAATTATGAAAACCTATCACTGAAAATCATATCTAGAATATAAGTTTCAAGGGAAGAATAGTAATTAGAATAATAAATTACTTGGGGATCCCTGGGTGGCTCAGCGGTTTAGCACCTGCCCTTGGCCCAGGGCGTGATCCTGGAGTCTCGGGATTGAGTTCTACATCAGGCTCCATGCATGGAGTCTGCTTCTCCTTCTGCCTGTGTCTCTGCCTCTTTCTCTCTCTCTCTCTCTGTCTCTGTCTCTCATGAATAAATAAATAAAATCTTTTTAAAAAATGAAAATAAAAAAATAAAATTACCACTTGTATTTTGAAAAAAATCAATGATTTTTTTGATTAAGGACTTCTTTAGAATGAAGATGTTTATGATCAAAATTCAAGTGTTCTAAATTTAATGAAGACATTTAATGAAGAAATTCAAATATATAAATTACTGGAGTTCCTAAGAGCCATGTGGCTGTAGTTTGAGATTTAGATATAACAGAAATGTCTCAAATTTGCATGTGATCCTGAGAAGTTTATCATTTTTGTATTTATTTCTATTGTACATATTTTCATATAGAAGGAAAAAAAGGATCCAAAACAGTAAAATGAATTGACTGATTTCTTCTGTCTAGAAATTTCTCATGTTAAGATCTTAAGGAGATGTATTTCACTTTGGGCCACTGGAGAAAATGGCTGAGAAAGAACTACAACCCTGACATCCATACAGCTACCATAATCAGCAGATTGGATGAGAGAGATCTCAGAACTCCATTCTGATCTAGGAATAGACATGCAGACTGGGAGCATATGGCTGTCCTGTTCTGGGTGCAGTCTCTCAAACAGCAGGGCTGTGATACCATGGATACCACACCTCTTGCCCATATTTGCACTTAATATGTTATTTCATTTTATGTGTTTGCCTAAGGAGGGGGCAAATAGCATTTGCACTAGGGCTTTGGTAAATGAGTCAGTCACATTTAAATAATGAAGAGAATGGTATGCTATAAGCTAAACAGTAGAAAACTCTCTGGAAGAAAAAATGAGGCTCCTGTGAGTGTCCAGAACTGCATTCAGAATTCCTGTACATTCTCTGTAGCAATAGAATCAGAATTTCCCTGCTGCCTTATTTTCAAGTTGGGGTCTGGAAGTCCATCTCTCCAAAACACACTTGCCTGGAGCTGAGACTGTAGCAACGGTGCCCCTTGGTTTGATCCTTGACATATTTGGCATTTTTTATTTTATGAAAGGGAGCAAATTTCATGTTCTGGGACAGAGAATCTTGAGAGGAGAGACTCAGGATGCTCTAGAGAAGAAGGGGGCCCACAGGGAAGATCATTTGTTTTGAGAATAAGTACTATCCCTATTCCTCATTCTCCAAGAAAATGATGGTTGGCCTTCGCTATAGCAAAGGTTTTGGGGTACAGACACTGGTCACTACAGGGTAATTCTCCAATGTAGGACTAACAGGGGCCAATCTTGAGAGGGAAAAACAACTGAGACTATACCAAAATGTCTTTCTGCAATTTTTCTCATGGTAAACACATAGCAGAAACCTGACAAGAATAAATTAGAATTCAATACTTTTGTGAGGGGTTAGGGGAATTTTGGTGAAGGCAGTCTGTCAAGAAGTGAGAGAGCTGAAACACATCAAGTATGGTGTTATTAAAAGATTAGAAGTAAGGCCAAATATATAGGAGCCTACCTGCATTACAAAACCATTCTTTGACTATGGAAAAAAATAGGACTATGTTCCAGTCTTAGTTCTATGACTTATTGACTATGGCAAATATTGTAGTTTCTCTGAGACTATTTCTTTGCCTATATATGGTAATAATTATTACTTCAAGTACTTCTCATTCTAATGGTAAAGTTACATTCTTGCATACATCAGCTCTTTGCCGGGTACTTCCGTGATCCTGAAGCTTGACAGTTAGTTTAACATGCAGATTGGACATGTTATATTTACATAAGACATCTTCTTGCCTCTACTTCATTTTTAACTTTTTGTTCCTTTTAATTTGTTTCCTAAAATGATTGAATTTGCATATTCTATCCTACAGAGGATCCCACTTGTTACTTTTACCATCGCTTCCTAATCTCTTTTATCTCTTTAATTAATTAACTTATTTATTTTTAAGTAATCTCCACATCTAAGATGAGGCTCAAAACCATGATCCTGAAGTCAAGAGTTCCAGGTTCCACCAACTGAGCCAGCTAGGCACTTCTACTTCCTTATCTCTTCAGACTCCTTCCTTATTGCTCTCTTGCCTCTTTTCCCCCTTGGCCCCTGTTAGCCCTACATCGTGTATCCTGCAGTCTTAGCTTTCTCATCTTTTATATGGAACTTATTCTCATATTTTGGAGGCCAGTGGAAGTGGTAAGCAGTGAAAGTATTAGTTTTGGTTAACTTTTTTTAATCTTCAAAGTCTAAGAGACAAAGAAAAATGTACAACTAACAAGTAACTAGACAAGAAAAGAGGAATAAAATGAAATCCTGATTAATCCAAATTAAGACAAGAAAAGAGACATAAAAAGGGAGGAAATATATAAAAAGTAATAAGATTGTAGGGATCCCTGAGTGGCGCAGCGGTTTGGCGCCTGCCTTTGGCCCAGGGCGCGATCCTGGAGACCCGGGATCGAATCCCATATTGGGCTCCTGGTGCGTGGAGCCTGCTTCTCCCTCTGCCTGTGTCTCTGCCTCTCTCTCTCTCTCCCTGTGACTATCATAAATAAATAAATTGAAAAAAAAATTTTAAAAAATAAGATTGTAGATCTAAGCCAAATATATTAGTAATTCCATTAAATGTACTAAATATTCCAACTAAAAGACAAATATGGTCAAACTGGTTTAAAAAATACTATTTGATACAAAAAATACAATTGGATGCTTATAAAATATACATCTTATGTATAAGTATACTGAAAGATTGAAAGTAAACGGCTGAACAGATAAACCATACAAATAGCCAAAAGAAAGCTGATATAAGGGATCCCTGGATGGCTCAGCAGTTTAGCGCCTGCCTTTGGCCCAGGGCATGATCCTGGAGTCACAGGATCGAGTCCCAGGATCGAGTCCCAGGATCGAGTCAGTCCCACATAGGGCTCCTGCGTGGGGCCTGCTTCTCCCTCTGCCTGTGTCTCTGCCTCCGTGTGTGTGTGTGTGTGTGTGTGTGTGTGTGTGTGTGTCTCATGAATAAATAAAATCTTAAAAAAAAGCAAGAAAGCTTATATAGCTATACTAATATCAGGCAAATTAGATAAGAATTAGATAATTTTTTAAGATAAGTATTACTTTAGGGATCCCTGGGTGGCTCAGCAGTTTAGCGCCCACCATCGGCCCAGGGCGTGATCCTGAAGACCCAGGATCGAGTCCCACATCCGGCTCCCTGCATGGAGCCTTCTTCTCCCTCTGCCTGTGTCTCTGCCTCTCTCTCTTTCTCTGTGTCTCTCATGAATAAATAAATAAAATCTTAAAAAAAAGGAAAAAAAAGATAAGTATTACTTAAGTATTACTCTATCTCTCTATATATATACATATATATGTGTATATATATGTAGAAACATACATACACACAAGAAATAATATATAAGCGCAGTAATGTCCCCAGATAAAGCATAAACAACTCAGTTTATATAGTAATTTATTATTGATCTTTAATAAAAATATTTAAAGTATGTCTTTTTTATTTAGGACTGGAGAAGCTTGCACAGAAAGGGAAATCATTGTCCCCTTTAGCAAGTATAACAGGAGTATCACTCTTTTTGATTATATCCATGTGTCTTCTCTTCCTATGGAAAAAATATCAACCCTACAAAGGTAGGTTAAAATTAGAAAGAAAATTTACAAATTGTTGTATATATGTATGACAAAGTACCTTACTATGTTTTTTTCTTTCTTGATTTTAGTTATAAAACAGAAGCTAGAAGGCAGGTAATGCATATGTTTCTACAAAAATAATTTTTTCTTGAATGTTTTTTCCTCAATTATTATTACTAACAGAAACATCTATTTGTCTTTTCAGGCCAGAAACAGAATACCGAAAAGCTCAAACACTTTCAGGTAATGGCCATGCTGAAAGGGACTACTATCAATGTTAATGTATATTAATTCATATGACTGATATTCATTATTATATATAATCTACTGTTAATATAATAGAATTCACATAAGCTAAGATTAATGTAATACTAACAATCCCTTGCCTTTGAATAGTGCCTTCACTTTACAAAGTGCTATCCCTTGTATTATTGGTTTTATGAAAGTCATGCAAATCTGTAAAATAAGCCTGAAAGGCACTCAACTCCGTTTTAGAGGCAAGAGAACCAAGGCTCAGATATTAAGTCACTTGTCCACTGTCACTGAGTTCTTTTGAATCCTAATCCATTGATCCTTGCATTATTTTGAAAATGCCCAGGACCCTCCCAATTTATTCATTCTTAAAGCAGATAAATGCTGGCAGCTCCATCCCAGGGAGAGGAGGAAAGGGAGATTTGACTGGCTTGCTGCTTCTTGTCCCTAGCATTGGCCCTCATTGCCATTCTCTACTGACTCCCTGCAGAGTTGTTGTAAGTTAGCAATAGGGTTTTAGCTCAGGCCTTGGAGTCACATGGAGCTGGGTTTCAGTGCCATATATGCCACTTTTCCCCAATGTCACCTTGAGAAAATTAATTTTTCTTGACCTCGACTTCCTCATTTATATGAAAGAGATAATAACTCCCCCATCCACACCTCCCCACACACACACACCAGGGTTGCTATGAGAATTAAATACAATGATGTAGGTAGAGTACCTAATATGCCTGGATGCTTAGTGAATGTGGGTCTACTTCCCCTTATCAAGCCCCAGAGACCATCTGGCTCCTCCCAACCACCCCATTCACATCATTTTATAGATGATAGTTTGGGTGATTTTGATATTGCCTTGTATTATATTTTGGACACATGGGCAGCTCTATTTAAGTATATATTCTTATTAGTTTTAATGGTCTCTGTTTTAGATCTAGCAGGGTGTAGTACATATTATGTGTAAATTATGCTATGACTCCCAGGTTGAAACCTTGGTGTGCTCTTTGATATCTTGAGAGTTACAGAGGACAAGCCTGCCCATATGTTCATTTGAATATAGAATACACAACTCCCACATCAAGCTTTAAGAATAATCGTCCCAATTCAGCTTCAGAAGGAATGATTTCCCACACTGCTTAGCAGCAATGTGACGGTAGGGGATTAGGTTTTATACACACAGCACTTGAAGCAAACAATAAAGGTAAGTTAAGACTTTAAAAAAAAAAACTACAATTCCAATTTGAGGTGTTTGGTTTGTAAGTAGTATTTGTTTTACATTTCAGGCCATGAAGATGCTCTGGATGACTTTGGAATATATGAATTTGTTGCTTTTCCAGATGCTTCCGGTGTTCCCAGGGTTGGTTTTCCTAGTGGCTGATTAACCACAGGTGTAAGCGGCATTCAGTTAAGCACTCAGGCAGTGTGGTCAAATGGCTGTGCTACTCTCAGCAGAGTTTACTCGCTCTATAATGAATGATGTTGCCAGATCTGAGGAGCTAAAGCATCTTTCTTGGCCTTTATAAGTAAGGCTAACACCAATTAGGAAGTTACACTAATTCGTAAACATTCTTTATCTGGTAAGCTTAGTGAAAAGAGAACTAGGTTGATGTTCAAGAAACTAAACAAATAGTGGATCAGGGGACCTTGATTTAAAACATTCTGCATCACCTCGATGGTTTACAGACTGTAATGTCACTGAATTCCCTCTGTGTTCCTAGCTTCCCCTTCCTTTCCCCTCATAGCTTGCAAAGACAATCATACCCTTCTGCTCTTCAGAAGAAAGGTACCATATAAACCCAAAGTATGCAAGTGCACATCTTTATTTTTTACCCTAAAGGTGCCTGAGATGTGAGAAGAGGAGTTTTTACATCACTGAAACATTTTTTCAGTCTGCAAAGACAAGGTCTTTTAAAACAATCCGTTTTTTTTTTTTTTTTAACAGACATAAAGAATGTTTTCTGAGCTAATCAGCTTGTTAGCATCTTTATAGATTCCTGTAGGGCCAGTTTTACTTCTGCTTCCTTTTCCCCTGTGATAGTTCACTTAGGGAAGGGGCCATAAACAGACTGCTTGCTTCAAGGCATTTTCATTTCCTTTTTTTTTTTTTTTAAGGAACTATCTGTCCTTAGGGATAGCTTACCTCATCTGTTAGTGAATTCTGTCCATGTGTAAGATTCATCCAGTAATTTTCCTAGACACAGACTTTATTTTGCAAATGCTATGTGAGTAAAAGAAGATGCTTGTCTCGGCAGTGCATATACTAAAAAAATAAATAAATAAATAAATAAATAAATAAATAAATAAATAAATAAATAAATAAATAAATAAAGTAATAGAGGGAGACTGATTGGATTTCATCCTCCTAAGGGCAAGTGGGTAACCCATCATCACAAATGAAGGGCGAGACTGCATTGCAAAACTTTGCACTGCCCTATTCAGTCTCAGACAGCATTGGCTCACCTTTCACTTCTACAACCAAAAAGACAAAAATAAATATTTGTAGATCTATTATTTCAAGTAGCTTCTCACCACAGCAGAAAGCCCCCTCTCAAGTGTGGCTTTTAAATAGAAAAGCAGGAAACTGAAGAGCCAGTAAAACTTAGTATTGAGTTTTTGAAGCTGGGGGTTTCTTTTTTTAAAATAATGCAGTTTTTGTTCTTAGGAATTCATTAGAAAGGAATGAGATCTATATAAGAAACTTTAAATTTAGCCTTGTGATTAATTAGTACTCAGTTTCAAAATGTTTTGGGAGGGACTGTATTTGTGCAAGATGCTATAATCCCCAAGAACTTGGGGCAGAGAAATGAATGCTTTAATTAGAGATCAGAAGCCCCACTTATTTCTGTCATAAGTAGAATAACTTAATTTGGAGCCATGTCCATATTCAAAGCTGAAAACCCCTGAGGAGTCAGCTAAGGTTCTTCATTGATAGTGACAGGTGCTTCTGGAAGGAGTGAGAAATCAATACCAACAATGGAAGGAAAAGGATGAGGAACAGTATATGTGTAGGAGAATCTGCGTTAGAAGCCAGCGTGGCAGTTATGTGTAAAGATTAGCAGCCAAATGCAATGACTTTGAGAAGAAAAGGAAAAATAATAATAAAACCAAGATCTCAAAATGGAAGAGGGAAACACATTAAATTACTAACTTTTTGAGTTTTTAAAAATCAAAAACATCTCTCAGCTTGTGATACATGGACATGTGGAATCCTCCTCTCTCTACTTGCTGTACATTTTCATTTTACTGTCCATTTAGCACCTCTTTGTGGAATTGGACAGAAAGCAATGGCATGAAATGAACAAATTTATTACTGATCACCAGCTCCAATATGAGCCTAGGTCAATATGTTAGTTATTACCTATAGATTGCTTTTATCATAGCCCTTGACACCCCCATACCAAAGAAACTCAACAGTTGATCTCAAATACACTTGACCCTAGAACAACATGGGAATAAGGGGTGCTAACACTAGCCAGTCAAAATTCTGCCTGTAACTTTTGACTCCTCCAAAACTTAACTACAAGTAGCCTACTGTTGGAGGCCAAAGTCTACCAATAACATTAACGGTTAGCTAATGCATATTTGTATTATACATTATATTCTTACAATAAAGTAAGCTAGAGAAAAGAAAATACTAAGAAAAGCATAAGGAAGAGAAGATACATTTATAGTATTGTCCTTTATTTATCAAAAAATATCCATGTATAAGTGGAACTGTGCAGTTCAAACCCAATTTGTTCAAGAGTCAACTGTACAAACTGTAAACCAAAATCTCCTTGGCACACAGATTTCAGGTTGTACTACAAAGCTGTGGTCATCAAAACAGTGTGGTACTGGCACAAAAACAGACACATAGATCAATGGAACAAAATAGAGAATCCAGAAGTGGACCCTCAACTTTATGGTCAACTAATATTCGACAAAGGAGGAAAGACGATCTGCTGGAAGAAAGACAGTCTCTTCAATAAATGGTGCTGGAAAAATTGGACATCCACATGCAGAAGAATGAAACTGGACCATTCTCTTACACCATACACAAAGATAAACTCAAAATGGATGAAAGATCTAAATATGAGACAAGATTCCCTCAAAATCCTAGAGGAGAACACAGGCAACACCCTTTTTGAACTCAGCCACAGTAACTTCTTGCAAGATACATCCATGAAGGCAAAAGAAACAAAAGCAAAAATGAACTATTGGGACTTCATCAAGATAAGAAGCTTTTGCACAGCAAAGGATACAGTCAACAAAACTAAAAGACAACCTACAGAATGGGAGAGGATATTTGCAAATGACATATCAGATAAAGTCTAGTATCCAAGATCTATAAAGAACTTATTAAACTCAACAGCAAAGAAACAAACAATCTAATCATGAAATGGGCAAATGACATGAAGAGAACTCTCACAGAGGAAGACATAGACATGGCCAACAAGCACATGAGAAAAGGCTCTGCATCACTTGCCATCAGGGAAATACAAATCAAAACCACAATGAGATACCACCTCACACCAGTGAGAATGGGGAAAATGAACAAGGCAGGAAACAACAAATGTTGGAGAGGATGTAGAGAAAGGAGAACCCTCTTGCACTGTTGGTGGGAATGTGAACTGGTGCAGCCACTCTGGAAAACTGTGTGGAGGTTCCTCAAAGAGTTAAAAATAGATCTGCCCTACGACCCAGCAATTGCACTGCTGGGGATTTACCCCAAAGATACAGATACAGTGAAACGCCCGGACACCTGCACCCCGATGTTTATAGCAGCAATGTCCACAATAGCCGAACTGTGGAAGGAGCCTCGGTGTCCATCGAAAGATGAATGGATAAAGAAGATGTGGTTTATGTATACAATGGAATATTATTCAGCCATTAGAAACGACAAATACCCACGATTTGCTTCGACGTGGATGGAACTGGAGGGTATTATGCTGAGTGAAATAAGTCAATCGGAGAAGGACAATCATTATATGGTCTCATTCATTTGGGGAATATAAAAAAATAGTGAAAGGGAATAAAGGGGAAAGGAGAAAAAAAGAGTGAGAAATATCAGAGCAGGAGACAGAACATGAGAGACTCCTAACTCTGGGAAACGAACAACGGGGTAGTGGAAAGGGAGTTGGGCGGGGGGTAGGGGTGACTGGGTGATGGGCACTAAGGGGGGACTTGATGGGATGAGCACTGGGTGTTATGCTATATGTTGGTAAATTGAACTCCAAAAAATAATAATAATTATAATAAATCTAAAATTTTTTTAAATTAAAAAAAAAATCTCCTTGGCACAAAAATGCAAGGATGAATTCCATATCCTAAGGCTGCACGTGAGAACTTTAGCAAATGGAATGGAAACAGTTTTCAAAGAAAACACAAAGCTAAGATATTCCAATACAACATAGCAGATTAAATTGGAATGAGATAACAAACTCTTCAGATGATTTATTAAGGACAAAGAGTTCTCTAGGTGATGCTCTATAAATATAAAGGACTGAAAGTGATCCATTGGAAGTGTGATGAAAATTGGAAGAGCTTGGGATGAGAAGGGGAACCAGACTTCAGCTAACTAATTGGAAAGCAGTGTTTCTGGAAGAAGAAAATGATCAGATATAAGGAATGGGAGTTAATAAAACATGAGTGCCAGTTTCAGTAAAACACATGTTGGTTTTTACCAGGCAGAAATATACTGCAGTACTTCCACACTCTTTCAAGCCTTCTGTTAGAGCCCGTGACTGCATTCAATCCAAAACATATCCCTTCATGTGTTCTGTATTTTGGGGTACACTCTGTATCAACTTGCAGTGTGATGAGGGCTTTTATCTATACGTTATTCTTTCTTCTCAACCATCTTTGCACATATAATTGGCAAATAATGTCAAAAAGCTAATTGAGATGTAATATAAAAGATAATAGTATATACTCTGATTCTAAACTGTCCTGATATCTATTCTTTTGCTATTTTTCTTTCTATTATAGTTCCTTTACAGTACTGCCAGCTTTTTTCTTAAATGAAGAAAAAAAAAGTGATAGTATTGTCAAGCAAGTCCTCTTCTGACTTCATAGCTATGCTGCTGCACAAACTACCATAGGGTAAGTGCAGGAAACCATAGCAAGGAGAAAATGGATATCATAGGGAAGATAAACAGATCTACTTCTCTAATCATCGCTACTTCCAGTTGTTTTCAGCTATGCAGCAGAGTAGTCATACTATTTATTAGTCTGCTAATTTTTTGTGTGTGCCACATTTTCTAGATGCCAAGTAGGTCTGTTCCAGCCTCTGATGGTGTATCAGGACAAGATTTTCACAGTACAATATATGAAGTTATTCAGCACATCCCTGCCCAACAGCACGACCATCCAGAGTAAGTATGAACGGGCATTTGGGGAAAAAAAAAAAAAAAAAAAGAACCTGCATTTGGTGATGCTACTTTGCTTTCCCCAAAATGTATTGGAAGGCTAAGAAGAAAAATATTAAAACAGGAAATTATAGCTCCTATACATTTGAACACACTTCCCCACTAGAAAATAATTTTAGAGAAAAAATAGACAAACACAAAAGTATTTTCTAGAGTTACATACTTGGGCCACTGGTCTAGAATGCAGAGCTTTGGAATCCAGCATTTCCCCCAATGAGTCTGGGTATGAAAGAGATTTTCAGGCCAGTTCTCAAGCCATCTTGGTCATCTTGATGATTTTCCAATGACTGTGGTGGTTTTAGAGCCCATGATCTGTCATTACGATTGGGACCAGGAAAAAAAAAACCAACAAAATATGCACAGCACTGTTATCATCAAATGCCCAGCCTATTACAGATTCAGAGCAGTCTATTCTACTCTCAAATGAACAAAATCACTGGCCTCACACCCAGAGAGGATAAAATCTGAGCTGAGGCCAAAGCCAGGAAACTACTTACCAGTTAACCCCAGGGCTGACACTAAGGATTTGCCCTCCCTTCTTGGCCATGGAGAAATTAAGCCTACAGCCTTTTGAAATAATGAAATGAACTTCCCCTTTTCATGCTGTTCCTGCAGGCATAACTGCCACAAATCATCTTCCATAATTTCTTTATTTGTCATTTATTGACTTTGAAAAGAACATCAATAACCACACACAGGAACTTCCCCTCTGGCAAAAGAAACAGTTCTAGCGAAGTAATTCATGCACACCTCTGGATAAATACCAAAAATAACAGCCAGCAGTGGATGAGTGCATGGGAAATTATTGTAGGGGAATGAGACCCAGTCCTGGGGGGTGGGGACAGTGGACTATGCAGTCATTTAAGGGCTAAGTGGCAGGATACCTTAGAGGACCCCATCAGTGCATTGCTTCTTGACCCAGGGAACCGTGAGAAAAGGGAGTCAGGTAAATTAGGAGCAGACCTTGATAGAGCTAGGAACTTCTGGCTTGAAAAGAAAAGAAAATGTTTATATTACTGGGGCACCTGGGCACCTAAATCAGTTTAGTGTCCTACTGTTGATTTTGGCTCAGGTCACAATTTCAGGGTCTTAGGAAGGAGCCCCAGGTAGGGGGCTCCCTGCTCATCATGTCTCTGAGTCTGCTTGTCTCTCTCCCTCCCCTTCTTTGTCCTTCTCCCCTTTGTGCCTCTCTGTCTCTTTCTCTCACAAATGAATAAACCTCTTCTCAAATAACACCTGACTCTCTTCATTTCTGGAATAGAAAATTAAGGGATTTGTTTTTGTTGTTAAATGTAAAGAAAAGAAAAAATTTTGAGAGTGTGTCTGCTTCCCAATTTTAAGATTGTATCCAATTAAGATTTTTATCCTACTTAAATTCACATGGTTTTCTATATGTCCTTTGTTCTGCATTATGTATTTTTTATTTAGAATGCAAACAAACCAGATGAAAACTTTAGGTTTATGTTTTAAAGCTCCCAATAATAAAATAAGTGTTGATTTGTTTATAAAGTTGTAGGATATAGCAGCTACAATTTCAGAACACAAAGTGATCAGGTTGGTTTCACTTGTTAAAAAAAAAAAAAAAAAAACCATGATTCTCTAAGCTAAAAAAGAAAATCAGTCTCTGAAACTAGAGTGCTCTCAGACATAAGCAATATCTTTAGAGTTTCTTGGGAATACAAAACTCTATTTTAGAAGTAAACTTGGAAGGTTGAAAGTAAAGCAGAAATGTTCTTTTTCAAGTCCATAAAGGACTATTCAAAACTGCTATTCAGGACATGCTCCCTCTAGGGGTAACAACCCCAGTTCACACTCCCAGTCCTCTGTCTCCATGGACTGGGCTCACCTCCTTTCCTGTCTTTCTAGTCTTTCTTTGCTTCTCTTTGTGTATCTTTATCTTCCAAGGATTCTCTCTTCTTTTACCTCCATCCTTTGATATCTGGCCTCTCTGAATCTTCCCTTCTTTCTTCTCTCTTTTAAAATTTTCCTTCTCTCTCTCTCTCTCTCTCTCTGTCCTAACTCATCCTAAAGGAGACCCAACATTTTTTAAAGTGGAATTTTCCTTGAATACAGATTTATTTTACCTAAATTTAAAAAATGAACAAGTAGAGTGCTTGCTTTGGCAGCACATATACTAAAAATGAACAAGTAGAGTATTTTATTTTCTTCAGAAAGTGTTTTACACTTATTTTATTTACAGTCAGTCTACAAACGTTTCCAGAACATTATCTGCTAGGGATAGAGGTTAAGAAAGACTGAGTCTTTTAAGGACCGCATAGTTTGGTGTGTTCTTGTTTGCTATTGTAACAAAGACTAGCAGTCCTTAATAGAATAAATATTCCTCAATAAAATAAATATTCCCTAAACATGCAAAGGCCATATTACCCTCCTGATTGCCCATGGCTTTATTCTTTAAGTTCAATTAAACTCAAAGATCAATTTTATGAATAATGCAGTATTACAGGTGGCTGGTGAATCTCTTTCCTCCCTACTTCCCAAAGTGAATGTGGGAGCTCTGGGTAAAGAATAATAACTTTCTGCCTTCTTGTAATCCTGTTTGACAGTTGCTTCTGAGATAGGAAAGACAGCCAAAAAATTCTTTTCTTTGGCTCTTAGACTATTTTAGCAGTGTTGTTTTCACTGCTGCATGTGTCTGTTACCTAATTGGACTGGTGTTTAATAAATAGGTAAGTCAACCTGTTTTCATATTTTAGTACTCTACCCAGTTATTTGCTTATTGAACTTATGGCTACATTCATTTAAATGCCATCTGTTGACCTCATTAAATGCTCCTGGCACTGTTTGTTTTAAACCCTTGGCTGGCTGTTAGTATTTTAAAATCTGGACATTTGAGTAAGTAAACCTCTACTTTCAAAAGGAAAATTTCTAAAAAATTTACTGATTGCTTACTCCTTATACTTATTTGTTTATAAGTGTAATTTTCTTGACTAGTTCAAAACATTCCTATTGCAGCTATTGAAAAGAATAAAAGATATTAAGGTTCTTCTACCTGTGGGACTGGAAATCTGTAGAATATTTTATATATCTTGTAACATCTCTTTGCCAGGTGAGCATTCATGGGTAAAGCAGTGCATTGGAGTGAAATAATGAAGGAACATTTTGAGGAAAAACAGTGGAAATGTATATTCATCTGGAATCAGTGAAGAAACCAAGCCTAATACCTCTTACTCATTACCCCTTTTAAATGCAGAATAGTCATTTATAAAAATTGTACTGAACGTTTTCCAGCATATACACAATGCATTGTGCTACGAAGAAACATGGTGGGGAAATAGTCCTCAGTGGACAGTTTATCATAGTGACTGAGAGAAGAAAAAAGACGGGACTTTCCAATTACTCTTTTCATATCAAGTTTCTCTAAAAAGCTCAATTACTTCTAATCTATACTTTCACTTTCATCAAACTGACACTTCTATCTAATTTCCAAATGTGGAAACTTTATATTTGTAAAATTTCCAACAGGCTTTGTTTTATTAATTCTCATTACTGTTAAATTACTATATTAATTTTTATAATTTTATTCCCAGACTTCCTTCCTGCTATTTGTACCACACAATAAGGATGGCTGTCACAACAGCAAGACTTCCCTTCTCCTAGGTTGTCAATTACTAATAACTTTTTTTGAAAGATGTAAAACACTGAAGGAAATGACATACTAAAGTCTTATTTTTATTTTTGTTCATGGAAAGATGGATTCAAATAAATTATTCTGGTTTTGATTTTCTTATGGCCTTGACTCTTTGTCAAAAATTTTACAGAAAAGTCAAATTGTACAATTAGATTTTTTATCCTTTTTTCCCAGTGTGCAATTAAGTGTAGATTACAGAGAACTACTAAAAATAAGAATCTTGCTCTTTCATGGCTATTTTTTTTTTCAGGCTTAAAATTTTTACTTGACTGAATTGCTGATTCTGGAAATGGTCTCCCTCCCTCCTTGTATATTGCTGTATTTTTAAAAAATCAGAGACCAAGTGGTAGAATTAGAAAATTCCATTTTATAACCTCTAAGTGAAATAACTGATTCAGATAACAATCATTATTAGCCAAGACTTCTAAATAAATGGTACCAGATAAAACAAGATGACCAAGGATCAAGTTGCAGAAACTCTGTGAAAGGAAGGTGGTCAGAGACCTAGAGAGAAGAAGGTATACAAAGTAGCACAAGGCAATTGTGTAGGACGCAAGAGGCCCAGGGAGTGGGGACAGAATGATCATCTGAGTGTTGTAGATCTTCAAAATGAAAGATGAATATGTATAATTACATTGGCTACAAACACTCTGACCTGACAGTGCTATACTGTAAGATTTCATTTTGGCCAAATAAAAGTAGAAACAACCCAAATATTCAACAGTAGGGGAATTTTAAATGACATTAGATCCATACAGTGGTTGCACTGCAACTATTAAAAAAAAAAAAGATACACACCTGTATTTACTGACTTTAAACTATGTCTCATGACTTGTTATTTTATACACAAGGAAGAAATTGAAAGAATAGCATTTCTTTTTCAGTGTTTCAAATGAACCACTGTATTTACATTGTTTCTTCCCATCTTTTCACAGAAGCACATGGTAAAAGGAAAATTAAGTCCCACAGCCCCTTTCTGGTTTCTTTCTCTACCACCTTATGTATTTTTCTGCTGGAAAAGTCCACCAGTCCTACCACAAACATTTTCTTTTGCATTTGGTAAAATATATGTACATAGTCTAATTTGAAAAGGAATTAATACCCTCTGTAAATAAATATATAATATACGTACCTACATACTCGGAAATGCATAAGGCTAACCATAAGATAGTTAAAATCACCTGTAGAGAGTAGATCTTAAGGATTCTTACAACAGCAAAACAGAAAATTGCAATCATATGAGGTGATGGTTGTGCTAACTAACCTTATTGTGGTAAATTATTTTACAGTATGTACATGTACCAAATCATCACACCTTAAACTTACACAATGTTATATGTCAATTATATCTCATAAGGCTAGAAAAATAATACAAAATCACTTGTATTCTAACCTCCACAGAAATAATATGTTAACGTTTCCCTAGGTTAGTTATGCATGTATTCTTTCATACACCTTCTAGTTCCAGAAAGAATTTATGGTAGCTCACATAAATGCATAATATAACAAGATAAAATACACCCAAAAAATAAAGTTGATAAAACAAAATGAAGGAACAATGAGAGTTTACAAAGACAAGTTGAAAGCAGAAATGAGGTTAATAACCAGTATGATGAATTCCCCTTCACCTCTCAGTATTGTTTTATAACACCGAGATCACACGGCATATACAGGTGGATGTCTAAGGAGGAACTTCTAAACTGAGTGCAATTTGTAACTGTCAGAGCCAAAGGAAGGTTGCAGTCCCATCACAGGGCTGGAAGAGAACCGGTCAGCTTTCCCAGGCACCACTTGCCCAAGTTCCATCTGCCTCTCCTCCCCTTCAATTTCAAATTCCCTCCCTAATGCCCTTGCATTTCTTACTTGAGTGCAGATTAACCACAATAAGGTTTAGCTGTATCTCTGTGTCCCCACCCCCCTTACAAGACCCAACCCTGGAACACTTTAAATCACAGACAATATTATACAGCCTTTTCATGAACAGGTAATAATGCATTCACATGATTCACAAATTAAAATCCTGTAAAGAGTATACATCAGGACAGACGTCATATTAGTTTTTGGTTTGTATTTTTGGTTTGGCTAATTGTGTGTATCCCTCCAGAGTATCTTATCATAAACCAAAGGAAATACAAACACATATTTTCATTTTTTCAGACTCTCTTTCCAATCACTTGTAATTCTTCTCATTTCTGTATTGCTCTCTCACACATAGATACACTCTTGGAGCATGGTTCCTCTCAAAGCAACAAGGAATTGCTAAAGGGAGAAATGTGAAAGGATCTAGAATCCTATTAACTTGCTGTCAATGGTGTGTAACACCGGATAACTCACTGCTTTTTTAGTATACGGGGATGAAAATCTCATAAATTAATCAAGGTTGCCAAGGGAATGAACGATGAACCAAACCCAGATGTTTATCTAATAAACAAATTAATCTTTAAAAACCACCCTAAAATTTTTTCCTTATTAACTAAACATAATCTTAGCTGAGCTCTTGTTAAAATTTTTAACTTTCTATTGCTGCTTCTAACTTGGAATAGAATTGTATTCCTAGTGTTGATTAAAGAATATATCCTACTGATAAGACTTTTAAACAAAAATAAAATACTTGTGAATAAAAGTTTCCCTTCTTTTTCTAACATTTGTGCTCTCATGTTAATAAGACAATTTCAGTTAAAACAAACTGCATACATACATTCAAATATAGTCCATGTGATCACTCAGTTTTACAAGATCATAGCACCTTATAAAGTTTTGTTAAAATAATAAAATCTGAGAGAAGTGGTGCCTGACGGTGATGGTGGTTCAGACAAGACTAAGGACCAGAAAGGGAATGTGACACCCCCAAAGTCACATAGTAATTGGTAGAGCTGGACAAGAACCCAAGCCTGTAACTGAAGAGACCAGAGGTCTTTATGTTACATTCTTGGGAAGCAGACGATCTTTGCAAATTATCTCATGAGAAAAATGCCTAAAGTCAAAAGAAGCCAGAAAGCTCCCCTAGATGGTTGGGAGTTGATGGAGCCAACACTGGATGAATTAGATCAAAAGATGAGAGAAGCTGAAACAGAACCTCATGAGGGAAAGAAGAAAGTGGAATCTCAGCCTATCTTCAGGAACCACCACCAGAAAACCCGCTATATTTTTTACTTCTTTTATAAGCGGAAAGCCTTAAGCAGAGAACTAACTGTATGAATATTGTATTAAAGAAGGCTATGCTGATAAAAACCTGATCACAAAAAAAAAAAAAAAGCAGGGGTATGAGAATTTATGCTGTCTGCACTGCATTCAGACATGGGACACCAATTTTGGGATGAACTGCATTTACTGGGTCCCCAAAAGCAAGCTGGAAGTGGGCCGGATCATCGAGTGCACACACTGCAGCTGCCAGGGCTGCTCTGGCTGAGGTCCTCAGGCCCTGACCCCTCTTCACCCTGAACTTTGGACTTCTTTGGTTTCTGACCATGGTGCCACCCTCTTTCCTGGGAGCAGCTCTTCCTGCAGAGCAGTGCTCCTGGCCTGAGTTGGAACATGGTCTCTATATGTAAAGGCTTTGGTGTTTATCAGTGATTTGTAGAAATAAAGCTTTAAACCTTTAAAAATAATAATAATAATAATAATAAAATTGAGTGGGAACACAGCACATGACATATGGGTAATAGTTTATATTATTAAAGATTTAATTTATTTTTAGAAAGTTTTTATTTTCTATTTCTGTATTGCTGTATATCCCTGTGAATTCTTATGTAATTCTTATATATTCCTCTAAAGTTCATGTTCAAAAATATGTGAATGTGTACGTTTTAGTTTCATAAGGCAGTAAGAAAACAAAGGTTTCTTCTCATGAGCAGACATGGAAATCAAACATAGCACTTGAATTTTACACTGTTACTCTCCTTCCTCCTCATGTCCAAGATAGTGTTTATTAGCATTATAATGTTAACCTTGAGGTTTACACTTTCTTATCCATTGCTGACTTTTGCGAGAACCTTGTGACTAAAACAAGCATGCCCATTTTATAGATGAAGAAACAGACTCAGAAGTGAAAAGACTGAAAATCACCAAACCAATGAGTGGCAAAGCAGATCCCCAGCTGAACTTCTGGCTCCAAGTCCAGGGTCTATTCCAAGGTACCACATGATTTCTCTGAACAGGGCAGCATCCTAGAGTGGAGTACACACCAAATTTTCTTGTTAGCCCTACTTAGGAACTTCATTAGTTTCACATACCATTGGGCCTCCAGCAAACAGGTTATTTGTTTTTTGTATCTGAGAACTTTCTCACTTGAATATGCTCCTAAGGAAGATGACAGTTCAATTGCTTGCTATACAATAGGGCATAAACTCACAGATTGCTTCTTCCCTGCAGCAGAATTCCCCCTTAGCTTAATGACAAAAGGTTTCTGAAGCTTCAGAGCAGTCAGTTCTTTAAATTCTACATAAAGCAGTTATCCCAGGAGGTGAGGATTTCAGAGACACCCATGATAGCATGCTCTTCTGAGTATCCCCTAAGGCATCCATCCCAGGTATATACTTTGGAACACCAACAATAAATGTTTTTTGAACTGTACTCAATTAGATTAACTGCCCATTGTATATTTAATGAAGACTACATTTATTAGAGGCAAATAAATTACTGTGTTTCCAATAACCAAGTTCCTCTGAGACTGATTCTCATGGGTATTGATAACTTTGGGAGCTATTTTTCCTGCAGTTCACTAAAACTGTTCTTCAGAAAGGAGAATTATCAGGGTCTGACTGTATCTACAAAATTTTATCATTATCACTCATAAAATAACTAGTTTGTGACCCACAGATCACTTGTCAGGACTAGTTTAAGATTCCAAATAGAAATGCCTGATAAACAGCTGTATATCCAACATAAGAACTTTAAGGAGAGGTCTGGGTTTAAGAAATAAATTTGAATCATTTTTATATACTTATAATGTCTTTTGTAGCAAATAACAGAAAGCTCTGAATAAAACTTACTTAGAATAATTTATTATATCCCAAGTGATTGAAAGTTCAAATGCAAGGTAGACTCCAGGATTGGTTAATTTAACGACTCAACAATATCATCAAAAACCCAAGTT